CCGTCTGCCAATTACAGTGACGTCCTTCACTCCACATACATCCATATAAATACGAACTAACTAACCGTTCTAATAAATAAATCGGCCTGGCCTGTGTTTTAAATTAAGCTGATACGTACATAAATACGCAACACGACCGAGTCGTCGTTTTCTGCTTGGGCAACCTTGAACTTTGCTTAAACTCTGGTTTGGTTTTATAACGAAAAACAATCAATTCTTCATATCGTATTTAACTTTGCGGTAAATTAAAGCCACACAATAATTAAACTAGAGGGAGAATAAAATTGCATTTAATCGATCCATTTATTTAAAATTCTATCGGAACCATAAAATTTCAGCGTATTATAGTTCGATCGATGCTATGTTTTGGGTCTGTTAATTTCATACGTATGAAAATGTCCTCGCTTCCCATTTCTTACTTGATATGTTACAAATTTACTTATTTTTCTCGTCAATACGCACAATTTAAAAAAAACGATGGTCGGTCGATACTATAAAAAATGTGGGTGCATAGTTTTCATCCAATTTAATCGACGCTATGTTTTACGTCTGCTTATTAATTTCATACGTATGAAAATGTCGTCTCTTCCAATTTCTTACTTGTTATGTTACAAATTTACTTATTTTTCTCGTTAATACGCACAATTTGAAATAAAAATTTGAGCGCACCAATTCCATCCAATTTGATCGACCCCATATTTCATGCGCGTCTGTTCATATGAAACTGTCCCCTCTTCCCATTTCTTCCTTGCTATCTTACAAATTCATTATTTTTTTCTTTTCTACGCACAATTTGAAATCGCAAAAAAAAATTCATGTACATGCATTCCAACCAATTACATTATTTCTCACGAGGGCATTTTATCACCCATTCCTCCCCACCTCCCCCTTCCTCCCCCCCACAAAATGCATATGTATTCGTACCCATTATGCACCCAACCCACCCATCAACTAACTAACTAACTATGTGTCCAATCTCGTAGTAAAACACAAGCCTTCACCACCACCACCACCATCATCACATCTCTCTCTCTTTTTATGTATTACAGAGTTGCATCGCATCCCAGCGCCGGCCGAAAGAATCGTGATTTTGCAATATTATTGGCGTCGTCTGTCGAACAAAGCAGCTTGCTTCGTCGTCGTCGACGTATCTATCTATCCACCAACCAACTAGGCAAGCCAGTGCTCTGCCAAAATAAAAAAAAATGGATGGATTGATGCGATTATTACGAGGAGCAAGTAAGTAAGAGCGAATAACGAGTTGCTTTGCTACGAGGAGATTGAGAATTCAGATGACTCGCCTTGACTTGCTGTTTACCAAGTCGGCTGTTCTCTTCTCTAAGCTGATGGTTGGTGAGTGAGGTCGACTTTTTCGTGCAGAAGTGGCCGCGGAAGCCGTGGGGGGACATGTGGGGGCATTGCCATTGTAGAATAGGGGTTTATATAAGACGGAAAGATGCTACAGGCATCAAAAATAAAGGTGGGGACATTGTCCTTCTGTCGCTACGCACCCTTCCGCGGCCACTGTTTTCATTTACATGTAGAATTTTGCATGCAGTGGCCGCGGAAGCCGTGGGAGGGACATGTGGGGACGTAAACATTGTAGAATAAGGGGAGGCAGGAGTTTATTTAAGATTATGCAGACATCCATTAACCGTGGGGACATTGTCCCTCTGTCCCCTCACCCTTCCGCGGCCCCTGTTTTCATTTACATGTAGAACTGAATTTTTAAAGACTCTTCTGAGTAGCCGCGGAAACCGTGGGGACATTAATATTGTAGGATGGGGGGAGGGAGGGGTTTGTATAACATGATACGGACCTCGAATAACCAGGGGGACATTGTACCCCTCCTTCCGCGGCCCCTGTTTTCATTTACATGTAGAATTGAATTTTTAAAGACTCTTCTCGTGATATGGATGCACTCTACTCTGTTCTGTATGTATGGCAGGCTGGCAGACATTTTGCAGACTTGACACTATATACGCCACAATTTACTTGGTGTAGTGTAGGATAGTGTTACCTACATTATGTATGCATACAGATCCTCTCTCTCTCTCTCTTTAATTCGTATATTATTGTGGTGCTGAAGAGAGCTCTGCTTTGTGCTATTCATTTAAATTCTCTGCTCCTCAGCAGCAAAACAACGAGGCGACGGGTGTGTACCAACGATGTACCAAAAAGCCAAAAGTCATAGGAAAATGTATGTAATGTAAAAAGCTGGTCGAATGAGAAATCTAGGTTTTCTGTCTCAACAGAGAAACGGCAGAGCTCTTATTATTCTTCTTCCTCTCAAAGAAAGAAAGAAAGCAGCTTGGGAGAAGACGTATCTCGATGATGGACGGGTTTTGCCTGGCAAACTTTTTCATGCCAATTAAACAAAGTCACGTGGAGAGAGATGTTTTTAGTGGAAAAAAAGCAAAAAACTCCGAATGAACGAAAACAGAGTGTCTTGTAAGACTAGAAGCTCTTCAAAAATTTGAAATTTTATGTAAATCAATATTGAGAAGAGTATGTAAATATCTCAATATTTAACTTTGGTACATTTAATTTAGACCATTATTTCGTTATGGACGTTATAGTCGTACATAATTTTTCTCACCGATTTTTAAAAAATTGGAAATTAAATGTAAATTAAATCCATGAGTAAATACATAAATGTCTCAACTCTAACTATGCGCACGTGGTCGTACATATAATTTCGAACATAATTTCCTTACGGATCCCGTCCTATATATTTTTCTCACCGATTTTCTCACGTACTAGTATGTAAAAAGTATGTAAAAACTGACAAAAACGATGAATATGAAGCCCCATAATAGCTCCGTTTCTGTACATACATATTTCTCCTATATTTTCCTTCCCATCGCAAACAATCACATTTTCTGTATGCAACTCAAAACCCAAGCTAGCAAAATCTCTCGTCTCCTCTCCAACAACAAAGCGGCGGACCAACAATGAGCAACAAAACTGTTGCCATTCCATTGCTGCCTGCCAAATCACTATGGGCGGCCTTTCGCAATTTTCGATTTGTAATGGCAGTCACAATCGTCGTCGTCGCCGTTCTAGTCCCTCGAGCCAGCCAGACAAGTAGCAAACACAATGCTACAACTTCCTATACATGCGTCCTCGTCCTCGTCCTCGTCGTCGTCACTAATTTAATAGGTAGCTCAACGACCGCGCTGTCAACGAGCGGTAGCAGCAGCAGCAGAATAATTTCGTATATACGCAATAATGTAACGCCAAACGCCACCGAGTCGGTCAAAAAAATGCATGCAAAATATTACGACCAGACCACTATTACTATTCAAATGAGGATGATGTATTATGTACATCTGTACACAAATAGTAAATTCAATACAGTAAAGAAAAAAAACATGGAATGGGACATGTCACTCACTCACTCACAAATCTATTCAATTTCATACGAAATTAGCATGACGTACGTACATACAAATTTGGAACATTTCATAAACTGGAGTAGTCCAGAAATAGAGGGGACATTTACTTAATCAATTTCTTCCCGTCTTTGTTGCGATTTCCCATTAAAAATCTGCATTAATTTCATTTCATCCCACTCCTCGCCCACCCACCAATTAATCTGTCCTTATCAACCTCTCCTCTCGTCTCCACTTTTCCCGAGAAGAAGATAACCAACAAAAAATTGGCTTGACTTGACACAAATAAGCACAAATTAATTCTGTCAACTAGTACAATCACGTTTCATTTCATATCTATTTGTGTCTTTCTTGATGCCATTTACGTTTTCATAGAGAAGTTAACAACTCCTCCAAATTCCACGTGGCAATATTCATCTCTCCTTCTCTGCTTGAATTGAATGCAAATTAATTACTCAACACCACCAAGCACAAGTATTTAAAGGGTGAATCAATTAACAAAGTTAAATTAAGAAATGTCAACCAACATTTCGATTCCTCATTAAAAGACTGAATCCCTAATCCCTGAGACGACATGACATGTAAAAGGGAGCACAGATTTATGGCGAAACAGATGCAATTCTTGTAACCCTTTCGTTCATTTCATACATGTGAACATTAACAAACTAAAGTATGTAAGTAACAAACTAAAGTCACTGTTGAATAGTGATGCATATGATTATGCACACTTGTCTTTGCCAAACAACAATTGTTTGTCTCTTGTCTCGCTCCTCTCTCTCTAATCTTTGATCTGCATGCTGTCGTAGAATGCACTTTTTTGCACGTATAGCACACCAAAATTGTACACTTACAATATTTACAATTAGTATATTCTCCCCAAGAAAGAAACTGATGGCTCACTCACTCGTAGACCGTGTCAAATGCATTTTACTCTCGAAGAAGAAGAAGAAGACAATCCAATATATTTCAAGTTTCTTCTTGTTTGTTGCACTTCTTATTAAACAAGTGAAACGAATTGGCTCCAACTGTCTGTGCGAGTGAGGTGGAGGAGATAATAAAGTGACATATATTTATTTAATGGCAACAGCAATATAAGGATAGACTTTAAATGCTAGTAAATAATTAGTAAATAAATAAATACGAATATCAACTAATCAGTTGGAAAGACAGTCGAGACATGAGAACGATGATGCGATGCGGTACCAAAGTCTCATTATGATAATAAGCTAGATTTATCGCGTGTCCTGATTGTTTTAATTAATTCGAGAGGTAAATAAATAGTCAATAAAAACTGAGTCAAGTAAAATACTTCTACAAGTAAAATTATGAACTTGTGTGGGTGCCATTTCTGTTTTTTTTGTGTAGGGGAAAATTTTTTGGGGAAAGTTTCCCTGAAAATCGAACCAGAAATTCCCCCAGCGAAATTATGGGTGTGATATTGGTTATTTTTGCGGAAAACGGAATTTTTAAGGCAGGAAGTTTACCTACAAATCGAACCGGAAATCGGACCCACTCCGACTTTTGTATGCATGATTTTATGATTGACGAGCAACATGTTATTTCTGATGCCTATATTTCTTAAAAAACGTCAAAATTCTTGCTTACCTGATTAATCTGCGGTAATGAGAACGGTTTCAGCACGGTTGTCAAAATATGCGGGAAACAAAGTCGTTTTTCCCCTCCGACCACGAAACACGAGATGAACACGCCTTCCAACGGCGTCTCCCGCTTTTCCGTCGTTGACCGATCCGACGCACTCAGAATTGGGGGTGGTTGCATCATCCCCTGCTGGTGATTATGCCCCCCACCATCCCCCCCGTTCTTGACGTGATGATGCTGCAATCCCGACGCCAAGATTATCGCGGCCTGGAGCGACCTCTGCTGCTCCTCTTTAATCCCCCCGACCGGGGGGGAAGAGTGACGATGCATCAACTTCTTCAGCGGAAGTGACGGGGCCAACTGACCGCAGGATGATTTCCTGCCCCCGCCCCCCGTCTCCCGGATTGGGCTCGTCCTCTCGCTCTTCGTCCCCTTCCCTGGGGGCGGGGGGGACACCACCCCGGCCTCATAATTCCCACCACCATGATGTGAAATAGGACTAGCACTCGTGGAGCTGGTCGAGCTCGACGTGTCGCTGAAATTCATGGCGAAATTCCCCGTCGGCGACGATTCTCGGCGGCGCAAATAGACTTGTTGCAGTTCCTGCTCGTCGTCGCGATCTACGACGATAACCTCGTCGTCATCGAGGCAGCCTTTAGCACCGGGGATACGATTTCCTCCTTGATTTCCATGAATGAATCCGTTGGGGTCGACATAGTTCGTTTTGATTATCAGGGTGCTGTTACTATTCCCGCCAGAAGAATTTGACGGCGCGGGAGTGGTCGCGCTATTCTGCGCGGTGGTCGCGGAGGCGGGATCTCCATTCGAGAGAAACGAGCTCGGTCCGCTCAACGTGTTTGCTGCGGTGAGTTGATAACTTTTCAAAACTTTTTTCAAGTGGAACGAATGCGGACTAGGTTTCCCTCCTTCCATGATTTTTGTGGTGCGCAGGTGCTGAAACTGATCCAGGATTTGGACCTCTTGTTGATATTTCATTACGGGTTTCTTCGCAAAAATTGTGTGCTAATAAATTTGCAAATTTATAGTTTAGTTACTTTGTTATTATTTCTTGTTGTACATTCATTTACATAAATCTCGTAAGTTTCGTTTTTTTTGTCCACCCACGTGACGTGACGAGATGATGATGACGAAGAGTTCTTTTTTAATTAATTAATTAATTAATTAATTGGCAGTTTTTCTTTGTTTAGTACATAAATGAGATGAGATGGGGGCGCGGCGCGGCGCGAAGTTTAAATTTAATGAGTAGTAGCAGTGTATTTGTTGTAAATTCTTCTTCTAAATCTTGACTTATCTATTTAGTAAATAGCAGTGACAATTAAGGTATTTTTTAAATTAGTAGTTTAGTGAAGAGAAGAAGATGTAGTAATAAATTTGTGGAAAAAAGAAGTTACTTATTCCAAATTATTATTTAGTCACGTCGTCCAAATACCGGTTTTTAAATTTCTAGTAGAATTTTTTAGCAGAGTTGATGATGATGAAAAAATTGAACTTTTTGTGTTCCAAGTTTAGTTCAGGTTGTACGAATTGTTGCACTTTCTGTTGTAAAAAATCACTAGAGAATTCGACAAGAAACACAGTTTCCACTCCAATATATTTCCGAGGATCAAAAGTTTCTCGGTTTTTTTTCAGTCACAGTAATCCGATTTTCGTTCACGCAAAACCTTCTCGATTTCCGTCTCGGAGCAGAATTTGTCACCGGATGTCACATCAAAATCAGATTTTCACTCCCAAGGAGAGGGTTCAATTTCCTCAAAATCCGTCGAGTAATGAGGAGAAGGAAGACGCGTTCAAAAACGGTGTTCCACTTCTCACATGTGCGTTCGTCGTCGTGCCAAAGCAATTCCTTCTTCGCTTCTGTGTGGTGCGTAGTCCAATTATTAGTTCAGTTTTCTTCTCTTATTTTCAATAAATACACGGGGAAGACTTGGTGATGAAGAGATTCTGTAAAAGAAAATAAAAAAACGATCGAAATTTTAGAAAAATATTTGTATTATCTTTTCATACGAATTTTTCCCTCATTTCAAAAGACAATAAATGAAAAGTGTTTCGGGTGTAAATAAGTAACCACGTGCAAGAAATAATGCGAAGAAATGGGTTTCTTGCAGGTAAATATTTTGAGCTGCAAGAAATGCACGCGCAAGAAACTACGCACAATTATTGCACTTTCTCCCAGTTTCTTGCACCTCACATTTCTTGCTTTACAATGTAAGAAAGTGTTTTTGCAGCTATTTTGGCCTGCAAGAAACTACGTCCCGCCGCGCATACTTGACTAGATGGCGCATATTTCTTGCACTTTCTCCCAGTTTCATGCACCTTAGATTTAGTGCATTTTTTTTCCTTTGCAGTGCAACAAATGTAAGTAATAGCAAACCTACTGAGGAGCAGCACGTGCCAAAAATTTTCATCCCAATTTCCTTCCACATCCACCCAAACCCAATCCAAAAGAAAGTTATGACAGAAGAACAACTTTTTAATTTCATAAATGTCAATATCTCAACAACGGCGTCCTCCTCGTCGATGGCATGACCAACCAACCAACCAACCAACCAACCAACCAACCAATCTATCCATCCGTCTAATGCGAACCAGTACATACTGCAGTAATGAAATTGAACCTAATCAAACCAATTATTCGTACAGCAGCCTACTTATCACGACACGACGAGTATTTGTATGTAGCTCCATACAACATATCATATCATTCCCTCTGCTACTGTATCTTATAAAATTCAGTCTAATAACTAACTAACCACTAAAAATTATAATTGTCCCTACAACTTTACAAAAGTCTGCTCTACGCACATCGGCAGTGGCCGCGGAAGTCTTGGTAGGAACAGAGGGGCAATATCTACTGGTATCGTATCCCATCTTATAAAAATTCAGCCTAATAACTAACTAACTAACCACTAAAAATTATAATTGTTCCTTAAACTTTACAAAAGTCTACTCTACGCACATACATCTGCAGTGGCCGCGGAAGCGTATAGACAATGTCCCCACGGTTATTCGATGTCCCCATCATCTCTCCATCTTACATAAACCCGTCCCTCCCCCCCATCCTACAAGGTTAACCCCCAGATGTCTTCCTACAGCTTCCGCGGCCACTTCATTCATGCACATCAGGCTTCATTTCATCTACGAACAATGTGACTATAAGAGGAGAGAGACTTCTTATTTACCGTCTAGACTACAGACATACAAAGATTTTTCTATCTCTTCCACCACAGCAGACAAAAGCAAACTCATCACCCACCGTCGTCGTCGTCATCATCATCTTCATCTTCTTAAGAATCTTCAAAATAAATAGGCACGCATTTTATATCATTGTTTTCTTGTGCATCATGATGCTACGTAAAATGTAATACTCGCATCACAGACTTTCCTGTGTTACGTACTTACGTATTTTGTATTTATCTCCAACATTTCAAACTTTTTAAAGGATTCCAACCGTAAAATGATGCACAATGCAATCGAATCGAATCCCACTTTTTATTATTTTGTTACTCTTCTTCTTCTTCCTCAGTAAGTAGGCACCGCATGAAGTGTAGTAGAAAAAGCGCAGTTTTTTAGGCCGAGGAAGGGCTTATGTAGTCGACAGGGTTGTCGGTCTGTCGGTCTGTGTATCGATTAAGCTGGTAAAATTTATCTAATCGACTTGAAATTTTGCAAGATGAAGTAAGAGAAAAGGCTCATTTTGTAGCCCGAGTCAGGGCTTATATACCAACAAATCATGGCTGTCTGTCTGTCCGTCTGTCGATTAAGCTTGTGTTAAAACTTGCCCAATCCACAATTTTGAAATTTTTCAGGTTGAAGTAGAGAAAACGTTTATGTTCCCGAGTCAGGGCTTATATACCCGTCTTGGTTGTCTGTCTGTCGATTACGCTTATCTAATCGACTTGAAATTTTGGACACACGTAGAACATGCAAAATTTAATTTAATTAGGAATTTTTAATTTGGAAGATGAGCAAAATGTGTGGAAAAATGGAAAACTCGTACTCGTATTATACCCACCTAAATTTTAGTAATACCCTGACTCGGGCTAAATAAGGTTGCACTCTTGAGTTTTTTTTATATTCGAAACTTTACAAAATGTCTTCTTCTTCAGAATAAATCTAAACCACGAGGAGGCCCAGAATGGTTATCTATCTATTTTACATCGGCATGCATGCAAACCAACCACGATGTGCGTAGGTATTCGTTCGTACCATGTCTGCAAAAGATGGAGAAGCTAGATAAATATTTACCTTTTCAACTAAATCCTCATCTCTCTCAGATTAAAAGTATGTAAACGAAGGGAGGAATACCCTGGGTTTAAAATTTTCATCATTTTCGGCAGAAATTCGGCCCAATATTTGCAGAAATATGGGCCCGATTTTCTGCAGAAATTTAGCCCAAGTTTCCGCAGAAATTTGGCCAAATTTTCCGTACGAAAACTGTATCCAGTGCGGTTTGTGCAGAAAACTACGCGCAGAATTATGCATATACCGTGTTCTGCAGTACAAAAATATTGCAAAATATAGAAATTTTCGCCAGAATTATGCAAAAACAATAAAATATGCATCCAGCTTTTCCCCGATTTCTGCAGAATTCGACACAGCGATTTTTCTACCAGGGATGATAAAATCCGCCTTATTTTTTTATGAAGCTCATTCTCAGGAGATCTATATTTTTAAAAAATTTAAAAAACTGCATCGGAATTTAGTTAAAAATCTTATCCCATAAAAAAAATATCCACTCTTCTCCCTGACAAACTATCTATTTTGCACTTTCCTCATTAAAAACCCCTATCATATCATGTCATCAAATGATACGATAAAATTCCAAATTCCAAGAACAAGTGTCAACTTGGTATGAAAAACGTAATGCGAAAAAAATAAATCGTATCAAAAACAGACGTCATTAAATAATTGCAGGTTGCAAATCTACCTAAAAGTCTCATCCCATAAAAAAAAATTATCTACTCCAAGCTGTTTCGCACTTTCATCATTAAAAACCCTATCATATCGTAGCATTAAATTCCAAGAACAAGTGTCACCTTTTGAAGAAAAACGTGGAAAAAAATGGTATCAAAGAAGACATAAAAAAAGTGCAGGTTGCATTCGCACAATCCTCAAAGCCAAATCTTACTTATTTCTTTTGCACTAAAAAGATACGAGAAAAATAATAAAATAAAATATGATAAAAGAATAATAATAATAATAATGCCGTAAATAAAGTACCCAACCAAACCACACATATGTAACACCAGTGGCCGCGGACAATGTCCCCACTGTTATTCGATGTCCCCTACATCTCCCCATCTTATACAAACCCATCCCTCCCCCCATCCTACAGTGTTAATGCTCCCAGATGTCCCCACGGCTTCCGCGGCCACTGGATGTAGACCCACCTACCTCCTCCTTCCTCATTCAGTAGTAGTTCCATCATTATTACCACAATTTTGCCCTGCTGTTACCTCTTTAACTCGCAAAATCTCGTATGTGCAGCTATCAACTTGCGAAGGTTGTAATCAAAGAAAGACGTTAATATAGTTCCTGGTCTGGTCTGTGATGCGATGCGAATATGCAGTGGCCGCGGAAGACGAGGGGACATCTGGGGGCATTAAAACTATAGGAGGGACGGGTTCTAATAGGATGGGCAGATGATGGGGGCACCGAATAACCGTGGGGGCATTGTCCCCTCAAGCTTCCGCGGCCACTGCGAATATGTGCACTCTTTAAGAAAGAAATAATATCAAAGAAAATCGGCATTTGAAGGTAGAAAATCATGTCGAATTCACCCACCCATCGTATTTACAAGAAAATAGGGATAAAATAAATCTGAGCTAATTTATATTTATACAATTCAATTCAATTTTTTCATGTTTCTTTTTCTTGTTACATGCAAACTCTTTAAAAAACCATTATAATTTGTTTTACTATTTTGTAACAACGTTACGTACGGGTTTCGTTTCTAAACTTGGGACGGGTCCAACCAAAATACTTCAATTATTTGGTAACACAATGAAATTTTAGTATGACTGAATTTTTCGAGATGAATGTGCACAATTTTGTGAAGTAATAACAGAATTAATAATTATGATGCTCAAAATACTATGTACATAAATTTCTATCAATTGTTATGCAAGTACTGCGTTACGTATTATTACCAGAGGGAGGATATGTATTCATCAAAAATTTCGGAAAAATTTGCGAAAAAAACGCCAAAATATTTACGAAATATGTAGAAATAAAGAATAAGAAGTAAGAATTTTCAAAAAAAATTGTACTTTTGAATTTAATCCTGATTTCTTGAGGTCCAATTTCTTTAAGCAAATAAAAAAATCGTCTCACATCATTCAAATATTTAAATATATGTATTTTTGAAAAAATATGCAAAGGATTTCCGTATTTTTAAAATCATAGCTCTGAAACTCTAGAAATATGTAAAAATATTTTGAAACTGGTGTTATCAAGTGTGATCCATAAAAGTTCAGGAACACACGGATAAAGTTTGACCGTCATCAAATCAAAAATTTGAAAATAGATACCTATCCGCCCTCTGATTCTTAATAAAATATGTTCTGTTTATGTGTGCAGACTATTATTCTCACTGCGCCATAATATTTATTAGTGCCATTCTATTACGGCGATTCTCTCCTCCCTCCTCCACTGAATGAAATGAATCTGGTCTGGAAATTATTGCCAATTAAGAAGAGTAATGCGTGAAAGGGTTGAGGTTGAATAATAATGGAACACAAAGAACGGAAATATTTCTCCATAAAATTCCATTGTTTTAATTACTGGAGAATGAGTTTGATGTCATTATTATTTTATTCTGCAGGACAATTACAGAAAAAAAACAATGCAAATTATTTAATACCGAAACCGGTAAAAACCGCATCGATTCTTTGATTGGCGAGACTTTGATTTAAATAAATTAAATGGATACATATTAATCAGGGGTGGGTAAAATATGAAAATTTACAGAATTTTGAGCTGGGATCTTCCCAGGGTTTGGATTTCCGGGGCTGTTGCACCCTCAAAAAAGCGAAAATCTACGTGAAGAAGGGAACAATCAGTGGAAAATACGAGTTTTCTAACTCTTTATCGCTGTCAAAATACTTCATTTTAAAAAATCGTCAAAATAAAGTATTTTGAAACCGATAAAAAGTTAATTTCTTTAAGAAATGTGTATTTTTCAACCGGCTGTTGTCCTCTCCATCTTGCAAAACTTCTGGGGCAGTTACACCCACAAAAACACAAAAATATACGTGGAGAAGACAGCAGTCTTACGAAAATACACATTTTCTGAAGAAATTAACATTTTCTCGCTGTCAGTCAAAATACATTTTTCACTTTTATAAACTAAAGTACTTTCTCCTTTGGAAAATTAATTTCCTCGCGAAACGTGTAGTTATAAAGTTTTGAACAATTGTAAGATTTTGTCACCGAAAAAAAAAATTCTGGTAGACTTAAATAGTTTAACATGTGTTAGATACATGCAATCCCGTTGCTTTTTTTATCGTTATAAAAATACTTATTATTTCTAGAAAATAAAGTTGCCAAAATTCCTAATTAACCTTACTAATTACTAATTTCACCTTCTTATTCAAACCCAGACCGAAACCAGCCGACGGAAAACCGGTGAAAGCAAATTATTCCTGCCTGGCCTGTCACATCCTCAAAAACTATACAACGACCAGATGTTTTCCTAACTAACTTAACTCCCAATGTTACTTTTTAGCCCCGACTAATTAATTAACTTTGCTAAAAACTAAATCCTCTCCTCTCTCCTCCCGTCCCGGAGAAGTAGAAAAAGTAGAAAAAGCAATCAATCATCAACCCCGGCGAGTTGACGGAAACTTGAATCTCGTCCAAAATTTGTAATCTATTTACAAAAAATATGCAATCAATTTCTTCTTACCTTTTTCAAAAAATTGATTTTCCTTTTCCTATCCTTTCTTTCTTTCACATTCCAATCCAACTTTAACTTCTTTTCACTCACAAAATCGTACCACAATTTCTTATCAAATTTCCTCCCACTTTTTTATAACTTAATTTACTGCACTTTTCCACCCCCACCGCCTTCCTTGGTAATTTCTTCCACCTCAAAATGGAAAAATTTGAGCAAGTGTACCCTCAATTGATTGTTAACGCTCACATTTCTATTGTTTTTTGCCTCGTTATTGTTATTAGTCTGCTTCATCTTTTTCACAAAGTTGTAAAGTTACACAAATCCTTCTTCTTCTTCTTATATTTCCCAGAAATTTTTAAACTATCACAAAACCTTGCCACAAAATCTAAAGTAAACTTTCACTCGGTTCACTTTTCTCCAATCTTTTCACAGATTTTGACCATCCACAACTTCCTTAATCCTATTTTATCTTACAATTTTGTCCACTTTTCTTCTCCTCCTATAAATATTTTACTTTACACCTTCAACATTCTTGTCTTTCTTGTAGAAGAAGAATATTGTGATGAAATGAAAGTGCGGTGTACGGATTGTGATGTGGTATCGAGTCTCGCCAGTCTAGTTTTGGTTCTACTTTTCGTCTGCTGCTGGAGGCAAAGCCGGATTTCACTTGGCTGAATTTTTTACTTTACCACACCACCAAAACCAACCATCCGACCGAGAGAGACCGAAATGTAGTATGTAATACTTTACTTCATACATACGGCGACGACGACGACGGGGCAGAGTCAGATAGGAAAGACCAGTTCTTTATTATACGAGACGAGAATCTAGAGGAGTGAATGTACAATGTGCAGCAGTATTAACGTAACATAGGTCGGAGAGACAACCCTTTACTTTAGGATAACATAGACGGCTGCACTTGCGTCTTCGTAGTCGGCACAGGATTTCCATGGTTGGGATATAACAAGCAAGGCTGTGATGTGGGTAAAGGATAAGAATGAAATTTTGGTTTTTTAGGAGGCTGCAGACCCGTCGTGTCGTAATTTTGGGGGATTTTGAAGAATTTTTGGAAAAAAATGCAGTCCCCGTGGAAGAAGGGTGGGGACAGGGGGACAATGTCGGCAGGGTTGTGAGATGTCCCCATGTTGTACAAATCTCTCCCACCCTTATAATGGCAATGTCCCCAGAAAATTACCCCACGGCCCCTGAAAAAATTTGCATATCCTTATCATTTCCAGAGCAAGAAATTGTTCCCGGAGAAAGTTGTTAATTCCAAAGAGAAAGCAGTTGTGGGATCGAAATGCTCCAAAAATCTCACTTTTTCCTAACTTCTCTTCATAATATAGCTTCTTATAACTTTGGGGCAATGCAATTCTTACCATAACCAGACCACTAAATATAATGGTGTTATTGTACATATAACCATATAGCGATCTGATGATATCGTACCTAGTCTGGTCGGTTTGGTTTGCTTTTTTGCCTTGGCTTCTTCTCTTCTTCGTCTTATAAAAATTCTGTAAGAGAAGACGTCTTCTCGTCCGTCTAGCCGTACCGTCGGGGTAGCACCACACCAAACCCACCATCTTTACATGCTTGTTCTTATGTAAATTTTAAATTTTCTATCTTTCTGTGTTCATTTATCATTTAAATGGCTGTGTTACTTTACTTCTCGTACGTACTCTAGGAGACTTTAATGCGATATTATTTGCAGTGTAATGCAAATTTAATAGTAAATACGTACTGGTTTACATATAGTACACACTATGTAGGTAGAGAGACGGACTATGTATATGTATTAAGGAAAAGACGGTGAGGATTCCCCTTTAATCAGTGGCCGCGGAAGGGTGTGGGGACATCGGGGGACAATGTCCCCACGGCGGTTATTCGATGTCGGCATCATCTCCCCATCTTATATAAACCCGGCCCTCCCCCCATCCTACAATGTTAATGTCCCCACAGCTTCCGCGGCCACTGATTCCTCTCAATCCTCTCTACATGAAAGTACATTTGCCACCAAAATTTTCCTTCCTTAATTAATCAAGGGCTCCTCGTGTCCTGCACACAATTTCATACAATTCATTGTTCAGTGGAGAAAGTTTAGTTTCCTCGTCTGGTGAAAGTCCGTGGTTTGGTTTGGTCTGGTGAAAGTGGTTCGTTTCGTACATTCGTGTTCCCCCAAATTTTGCATACACCACACAAATTCCCCGAAATTGACGACGATTCCTCTCTGAATCTGAATAAACATGCAAACAACGTACGTACATACATGTGAATGAACGTCGTCACCGTGCTAAACCAGACCACCACTGCCTAAAAGTAGTATGTAAATACATACAGTCTACAGGCTGGCTGCACTATATATAAATACATACGTAATCATGTGGTGTGGTTTGCTTTTTTTGCACATATGTATATACGTATCCCGATGGCGCTTATGTAGGTTTGCATGCATTTGCACATTCATATTCATGCTTAAGATATATACTAAAAAGTGATTGGCTCTTGTATACTTGCTGAATTACTCGATGTGCATTTCATTCCTCGACGTCCTTTCACATGTGCTATTTGACTTTGGGAATTGTGTGTCTGTGATGTGATAAAACGCGAACTTTGTGTATGTATGCATACGGCGTGCATACAAAATATCCTTGTTAGACTGCTGCTTCTGCTATGATAAAGTTGCACAGTGGCCGCGGAAGCGTTCGTGGGGACAAAAGAGGGAAAATGTCCCCATGGTGGTATCATCTCCCCATCTTATAAAAACCCGTCCCTCCCCCCATCCTACAATGTTAACGTCCCCAGGTGTCCCCTCAGCTTCCGCGGCCACTGGTAAAGTTGCCTGCTTAAAGAGGCCTGAGATCTGATATATCTCTAGCAGCACGTTTTACTTTTAGTTAGTCTGCGTCCTTTCATATCGGCCAAAGTCATAACATAACACAGCATAATGGATGATGTAGGAGACCAACGAATCCGTAATTACATACTTCTTGCAATTAATGTCTGCCAATTAGGTGCAGTTTGGTGGTGTTGGTGAGAGAGAGAGAGAGCTTATCTATTCTGCCCCTGATAAGACTACGTACATATCCTGCTGCAGGCTATCTACACACAGAAAAGTCCACCTCCACCAACTAACTAACTATGTATGTACTAAGCAATCTAATACATAAATCCTCCACCTTAACCAAACCAAACCAAACCACACGTCTCTCTCTAAACATGCAATAATCCTGCGCAATTATCATTTTGACAGAACGTAGGTGGCAAAATAATTGCTTCTTCTATAAGTATTCTCTTACATATACACATATTTATGTATGAAATTGCACCAAACTCACGACAAGTAATTCATACATACATCCCCAAACAGAGACCCAGGTTGGTGATGATGACACGAATACGATACACACCGGCGACCGACCGGCAGTGAGTTGGGTACAATACCTGCGAAAAAAGTCTGCTGTTATGTCTGTCTGTCGCTCAATTTTTGCGTCACATATTCATCTCACTCGTTGAATTCTACTCTTTTTTACAAGACCGTTTTGCCAGAAATTATTAGTTACACTGTTAGAAATCTGGTATTGATTTCTCGTCGGTATTTAACTTGCTCCCGTTTGGTATTAAAATTATGTATACCGGTCCGTAAAAATTTTCTACCGAAATAAATATGGCAAAGCTTTAATACCGAGCTATTACTACACGTGGTGTTATTTATCAATCAATTCCACGTTATACATTAATACCGCTTGGTATTAGTTTAATACTGGATTTCTACACTATTAGAAATATGGTATAGTTAGGCAGCTATTGATTTCTCGTTGTTAAACTTGCTACCGCTTACTGCTTAGTATTAAAATTATACCGGTCAGTAAAAATTTGCTGCTACTGATCTGACAAAACTTTAATGTCGAGCAATTACTACACCGCTTTGGTAGCGTCATATTTACCTGAATACCCATTAGTTATTGGGTCATAATACTGGATTTCTAAGAGTTTATCATTACATAACATTTTGCTTAAAGAAACAATACATACATAAAATCGACAAACTGTTGATTATGTGAGTACATGCATATAAATACGTGTTTCATACATTACATTACATTACATAGATCGGTTTTGCATTGCAAGAAGGGTCACCTTTATTCGACCCTGAGAAAAGAACGAGTATATTATCGCTATCGTATTTATGTATGTAGCTCTCTGCCTCTGCCTGCTGGTCTCTGGTTTTCTGCCATCCCATGCAATCCAATGCCAACGAAATAGCTCTCCTGAACGGCATGCTGTCTCGTTCCTTGGTTGGCAAAAGTGGGATTGAAATGGAATTATTCACTATTTATTTTTAACGATATTATGAAAAGTGTGAGTTACATAGTACGAACGAATGTGCAAAAGTACATATTCATTCATGACGATGGACGAGTGACGAGAAGTTGTTGAGCGTGTGGCATGGATGAAAATATACTGGATTTTGTCACCCGTCTCTCTCACCCATTTTCCTTCGTCTTGATGTGATGTGCGTCATTCGCTCGTACATAATGGTCTGTTTTTCTTCTCTTCAACTTGCCACCTTTTATTATTGGCCAAGAAGAAGAAAAAAACACCTTCGTTTTCTTGGCAAGGGAGACATTTTTAGGGAAAATGTATGTGTATGTAGATATTTTTGCTTTCACCCGGCTTTCTCTGGCTGTGCTTTCTCCGGTGTAAAATGTGTCTGTATGAGAAGACGTAAATAAAACGTTCATGTATGTACATAGAAATGTGTAGATCTACGGAGTTTGGATTAATATTGTGGACACCAGTGGCCGCGGAAGCTGTGGGGACATCTGGGGATATTAACATTGTAGGATGGGGGGAGGGAGGGGTTTATATAAGATGGGGAGATCATGAGGACATCCAATAACCGTGGGGACATTACCCCTCTTTTGTCCCCACACTTCCGCGGCCACTGGTGGACGCATACATATGAACATTTGCATTTCTTCAAAACGTCCAGACAGACAAATTTTCTTATCGTCTTAAAGGACTCAGTAATTCCTCTTTTTCTTCCATTGTTGTCTGGGCAGGCAGACGGAAGAAGGCAGTCTCGGTCTGGGTGACCCATTAAAGGTTTCAGTTGAGTGCATGTGTACTACCCTTTTTAAAAATGGAAAGGGTTAAGGCCACCGCTATGTACTTTAGAAGGGAGGTCTCCCAGCGGATGCTGTCCCATTTTGAGCAAATTAGTCTCAATCGATGACAAATTTGATTAGGATGAAATTTGGGAACGACACGATCTCCCAATGGGCATGTTTGGCGAAGATATTTGCATCCGAAGAGGAGAAAACGCGCAGGAAATTTGGAAAGTGTACCATTTGTCGATTTTAGGGCGCGTTTTCTCCTCTTCGGATGCAAACATCTCCGCCAAACACAAGATCGTGCAAATTTCATACGATTTAGATTTAAAGACACGATCTCCCAATGGGCACGTTTCGCCGAGATATTTGCATCCGAAGAGGAGAAAACGCACCTAAAAGTCGACAAATTTTACAGTTTCCGAATTTTCCAATTTCCGAATTCTCCTCCTGGGATGCAAATATCTCTGCCAAACGTGTCCACTCGGAGACCGTGTCTTTCCCTAATTTCATACTAACTAAATTTGTCATCGATTGCCACTATTTCCTCAAAATCCGAGAGCATCCACTGGGAGACCTCCATTCTTATGAAATATACCATGCACACTCCTGCTATTTACTGTATTGACTACTAACTAACCTTCTGGATTGGCTTTTATGTAATCTCACAGCCCAATCTGCCCTAAAGTATTATTTAACGGGACTGCACTCACTTTACTC